GGGTTACTCAAGTAAAACTCAAAATTAAAACTGAGATAATTTATAGGATTAATTTTTATAGTGTTAGTCAAATTCGGACTAGAACTAAGATAAAATTATACAATGTTAGTGATCAACTAGAATTGGATAAAAAGTAGAACTGGAATAATGGTAAAAATTTATTCAACCTTTATCAAATTTATATAGAAAAGAGAGAGTTCTAGTCTCTCAAATTGTTCTTTAGTTTTAAACTAGAATTAGATAGTAAAAAAACTAGAACATTCGTATTTGCTTTTTTATCTTTCATATTTTATTTCTCATCATCTTCAAACCACACTAGATGATTAGATCACATCTCTTCTTACCCTTCTATTTAATGTTATCTTTTATTTTCTATTAAATATTAGAACTATATAGTAAATTTAAATTTAAAAATTATAAAATTTGTGTTTTATTAAAAATTAATTAAAATGAGAGATAATTAGCGGAATGATTTCTAGCAGATCGAAAAAGAAAGAGAAAAAAGGAAAAATTTATTTTTTAATTTGTATTACAATAATAACTCCAAAAAAATCAAAAAAGTTACAAATCATTTATAATAATAATATCTTATAGTCTATCCAATATTTCTTCAAGATTAATTAAAGTAAATACTTATTTTTAATAATTGTAAGTTTTAAAATATATTATTAGTAATCTTATCATCAAATGCGTGACTTATATGCTTATTGATTATTAAAATTAATCTTGATTACACGTCGCGCGCCTTTGCGGAAGCCTTGCACGAACTCACAACGAACCTGTGATCACGAGTAGAAGAAAGCCAAACACTTGCACAAACCAAGCCAATTACGACAAATCAAACCAAACACAAGGATATACGTGGTTCGGCAATTGCCTACGTCCACGGGGAGAGTATGGGGAGATTTCACTATATGGAGGAGAAATACAACGGGTTACAACTCACAAAATCACTCAAATATAACCCTAACCAAAGCTCTCAACTCCCTCACAATATCTCCCTCTCAAAGTGCTCAAAACAATGCTAAATCTCTTCTTTTCTCTCCTTAAGAAACCCTAAAAAACGTGGTCCTATTTATAATAAAACACAATCCCAAACAAAGGAGGATTCCTCAACAAATAAGGATTCTAAAAACGAGTCTGCCACACCCTGCACCATGGGTGTGGCAGAGGGTGTGGTGCAGGAGTGGTGCAGGACAGATTCTGCCACACCCTGCACCGTGGGTGTGGCAGAGGGTGTGGTGCAGGACAGACTCTACCACACCCATGGCAGACACCACACCAGGGTGTGGTGGAGCCTGTTTTGAGTTATTCTTCACGTTTTTCACAATTCCTTCGCCGTTTTCACAATTCTCCACCTCGGCAAAGTGTTCCCAACAATGAGCCGACACAAACATGAGCACCAATGTGTCGTCTCTCCAAACTCGGCTACACCAATGTGGTTGCCTACGTACCCCCTCTCCCAAGGGATCAAGCCGCCCGTAGTTCATCCAAATGGCCGCCAACGGCCTCAACAATTACGAATGTGCAACAAGTTTCGACAATGATCAAACTTGTTGCTCGGAACCACCTTAGTGAGCATATCCACCGGATTATCCTTTGTGTGGACTTTCACAATCTCCACATCGCCATCTTCAAGAACATCCCGAACGAAGTGATAACGAACGTCAATGTGCTTCGTCCTCGCATGAAAAACCTGATTCTTCGCCAAATAGATAGCACTCATGCTATCACAATGAATAGTGACGGACCTCTGCGATATACCAAGTTCCTCCAAAAGTCCTCGAAGCCAAATAGCCTCCTTCACAGCCTCCGTAACTGCCATATACTCTGCCTCCGTCGTAGACAAAGCCACCGTCGACTGTAAGGTGCATCTCCAACACACCGGCGCACGGGTCAAAGTAAACACATACCCCGTAGTAGACCGGCGCTTATCCAAATCCCCGGCATAATACGAATCAACATAACCAATGCATAACTACCCACCTGGCATGTATCTCGACACCATGCTCACTGCCTGTGACAAATCCGGCCTCGTACATACCATCGCGTACATCAAGCTCCCAACTGCGCTCGCATATGGAGTCTTCGTCATCAACTCACGGTCTTCAACTGACTTCGGTGAAAGGCCAGCTGAAAGCTTCAAATGGGCTCCCAACGGTACACAAACTGGCTTCGTATCCATGCTAACATGGAATCGCTGTAGAACCTTCTTCAAATAAGCCACCTGTGTCAAACAAATCCTGCCCTTCTTCTTATCTCTGCCGATCTCCATCCCTAAAATGCGCTTCGCCTCGCCCAAGTCCTTCATCTCAAACTCATTCGAAAGCTGAACTTTCAACTCATCTATAGCTGACCTGGAACTAGAAGCAACCAACATGTCATCGACATAAAGCAACAAATAAATGTACGCACCTCCTCTCAACTTGCGAAAATACACGCAAGGATCAAACTGGCTCCGAGTGTACGAATGACCAAGCATAAAACCATCAAATCGCCTATACCACTGTCGAGGAGACTGCTTCAAACCGTATAGCGATTTCTTTAGCCTGCAAACCAACTTATCTTTCCCTGCAGCTCGGAATCCCAATGGCTGAGTCATATATATTTCTTCATCAAGATCACCATGAAGAAATGCTGTCTTCACATCCAACTGATCTAACTCCAATCCATACTGTGCCACCAAAGCTAGCAAAATCCGAATCGACGAATGCTTCACCACCGGAGAGAAAACCTCATTGTAATCAATACCTTCCTCCTGTGCATAGCCCTTCGCAACCAACCTAGCCTTGAACCTCACTGGAGTGCCCTCAATGCCCTCCTTCTTCGTGTACACCCACTTGCACCCAATCGCCTTCCGCCCCTTTGGAAGCTCTACAAGCTCCCATGTATCGTTCTTGTGAAGAGACTCCATCTCCTCCTGCATAGCCACCTGCCACGAATCAGCCTCCGAACTCTGCTCGGCCTCTCTGAATGTAGTAGGCACCATCTCATCGATACTCTCCACCGGAAGTGCATATGCAACTGTGTCGGCATACCGTGCTGGCACCCGTATGTCTCTCCTCTGTCTCCGTGCCGCAATAGAATCCTGAACCTGAGCCGTCGGTCCCTGATCCTGCTCATGAGTACCCGTATCCTCCGCATCACCGTCGTGCTCGCCTGGCGTCACCTCAGTCGGCACTCTCATGGATACTGCACTATCTGGACTCTGTGGAGCTGCATCAATCTCCACCACCTGCGAAATCTCCTCTGTCGGGTTGCTCTCCACCTGATGAGAGCTGGGAAGCTTCAAGATAGAAGCCTCATCGAATGTGACGTCCCTACTCAGCACAATCTTCTTATCAACTGGATCCCAAAGCTTGTATCCCTTGACACCACGCTTGAATCCTACAAATATGGCCTTCCTAGCTCGAGGTTCCAACTTATCAGTTCTAACATGATAATATGCAGGGCAACCAAATACCTTAAGCTGGTCATAGTCATGTGCTGTCTCTCCCGACCACATCTCCATAGGGGTCTTCCCCTCAATCGCAGATGAAGGCAGCCTGTTAATGAGGTGGCTCGCATAAGAAAGTGCCTCAGCCCAAAAGATCTTCTCCAAACCACTATGCGCCAATAAACATCGAATCTTCTCCAGCAAAGACCGATTCAATCTCTCTGCCACCCCATTCTGCTGCGGTGTATGACTAACTGTGAAGTGCCTCTCTATGCCCTCGTCTCGACATAGCTGCAGAAAGGGGTCTGAGGTATACTCGCCGCCGTTGTCGGATCGCAACGTCTTGATCTTTCTCCCAGT